TTAATATTTCTGTTGAAGGGTTAGCTTTAGAGATTTAGGTGAGCTCCTCGAGATCACATGACTAGTAAGTAGCTAGTCTGGCAAGAAAACCTAAGTCTGTCCAACTCTAAACCAGTTCTGTCCTCTGTCCCTCTTTCCCTCCCTCCTTCCTTCTTTCCTCCACTGTCAGATGAAATAAGTTTCCCAGTATTGTACACAGTAGCCTTGATGCCTCCAGGCTCATCTGGTCCCAATTGATCTGAAGTGTGAGTTCTGGTACAAGCACATCCTCTAGCTTCTTCTACAGAGGCTCCTGACAGCGCTCTGTTCACCTCCTGGTGTCACCAAGCATTTAGTAGCTCCCTCTCCAGCTTCATGTCTTACAGTCCAGCTGAAGATCTACATCATGTTCCTCCTACATACTGGGAAAGCCTTTTCATTTCATCGCTGTGGAAAGCATTGCTTGGATCAACTTTCATTAGTTGTATAAAAGCTATTCTGACTGGCCAAGTCTGTTATTATTTTTATTTTAATGAACACAATGAAAAGCCATGTCTCTGTTGAGATTGAATTCGTTTTATGTTACAAGCTGAGTGCATGTCATCAGAGTCGGTACTAGAGAGTTCATTTCGAACTTGCTGTGTCTTTGTGGCATCTTGAGTATAACATTTAGTTATTGGAATTTCTAACACATCTTGCAGCATCCCTGTTCCTTTCTGGATCACTGAGAGATGACTGTGTGGTGGGTAGAGAGCTCCCAGACATCTACTGCAGCATCACTCACTCAGGAGCCCTTGGGAGGGTTTTTAAGTCTAAACCATAACAGATAATATGAGGAGTACTTTGGGATTTTTAGGTTGATTTACAATTTTTTGTAGTTTTCATTTTTTGGGGGGAGATAAGATGGCATACATTTTAGAATCAGACAAAAAATATTCAATGATTGACAACAAATAAGACTTCAGGGCTAACCCTCTGTGTGTGTGAAATTACCCAAAGTGAGTATTCATGGCATTTTTAAAATTATGACTACCCACTAAATAAAGGCACATTTATAATAATAATAATTATTGTATTAACAGAATTAATAATAATTCTGTTCTTATTATAACAGAATCCACAGGGGTTTAGGATCAGGTTTTAGAGTTCTTTCCCAGTTGGGGTACTTGGGACTCAAGTTTTACAGCAGTAAGTTGTGACTAGACCCATGCAAAATCCATTCTGGATGCCCACTAGATACTTAGTGCCAAGGCTTTCATTGGGTGTTGGTTACATAGCTTCTGTCTTGAGTATACCAAATTTACAGACTCTCAAAGAAAAAGGAGATGTTGGACATGTTGTTTATACAAGTAGATGAGACACAGTGGTCACCCTTATGAGTCAGGGATTGATGGGAATCTTTTTCAAATCCAAGCTCCAGATGCTAGCCAGAAGTCATCCTGAGCAGGCCTTTCCAAGGCTGGTAATCTCAGGACAGCTTTGCTAATAATTATGAATTAAAAATTATGGACCATTCTTGCTCCTAATTACTCACAGTACTGTCTCCATGGGGATAAGTGTCAGAATTATTATTATTTTTTTTTTATTTTTCAAGACAGGATTTCTCTGTGTATCCTTGGCTGTCCTGGAACTCATTATGTAGACCAGACTGGCCTTGAACCACGGAGATCTCCCTGCCTCCTGAGTGCTGGGATTAAAGTTGTGTGCCACTGTTGACTGGCCATTATCAGAATTCTTATTTCATGTGCGTGTGTGTGTGTGTGTGTGTGTGTGTGTGTGTGTGTGTGTGTAAACCAGGGGTTAGGTGTGTGTGTAACCAGGGGTTAGCTTTGACTATTATTCCTCAGGGGCCCTCCATTTTATTTTTCAGCCGGTCTTTCACCTTGGTCTCATGCTCAATAAATATGTTAGGCTGGGTGGCCAATGATCCCTGCAGCTCTGCCTGTCCCCTCCTGGAACTGAAATTAGAAATACATACCACCATGCTGGGCTTCTTTGTTTTCTTTTCTAGAATGGTTCTGTTTATTTAAAGTTCAAAATAAGCAAAGCTAATCTATGATTACTGATGTCTGAAGTCAGAAAAGACATTCCCTTTTTGGGTGGGTCAGTGAACAGTTTCTGTCAGGTGTTAATGGTAGTTTTTTTTCCAATTTTAATATTTCTATCAATTTCATACAACGTATTTTGATCATATTCACCCTCCTTCCTTCTAACTCCTCCTAGATCCTCCGCTGTCTCCCTACCCTTTCCAACTCCATGTCCTTTTTTGCTGTTTATTTGTTTTTCTAAATGCTCTACCACGTCTAATTTGTGCAGATCATATACTCCTAGGAGTGGTACCGTCTCCTGAAGCATGCTTGACTTACTTTGGGCTACACCTTAAAATACTCTTTCTCCTAGTGGAAGAGCTGATCCTATCCCTCACAAGTTTCAGCACTCAGGACAGTGAGCCTTGTACCTCACCCTGGCAGCATAGCAGAGCTGGCCCTGGTGCTGTGGGTATAGGTGAGCTGGCCCTGAGGGCCTGAGCAGGAGAAGTGGCCCCATCCCTTGTTGCTTGCAACATTGGGAGAGCTACCCAGGCAGTGCCAGAAAGCTTATCCTGGTGGTGAGAATAAGGGAGAGCTGGCAGGTTGATCAAGCCAGCTACCACCTAGGCCCAGAACCAGTGCTATGAGTTGGCCCACCCCAACATCCACCCCACCTAAAAACTGCAGGAGTACGTAAAAGGGTGGTCCTGCAGATACAAAGCTTCAGGATCTCCGTGATACAGGGCAAAAACAGGATATCCAAGAGGAGTCCCACTGAGGGCCCAGTACTGACAAAGGCCTCAAACCAGACCAATGACTCATTGCAATGAACACTCACAAGTAAAAAGATATATGATCTAAAGGGTATACTGTGTGACTCACTGAGACACACTACAGCTTCCAAGATGAGATTTTCTTTCTTTTAGATCTTATTTTATCTTTTGGGGGGAGGTTACAAGGGCAGAGGGTAGATACTAGGAGACAAGGAGATGAATGGGATTGGGGTGCATGATGTCAAATCCACAAAGAATCAATAAACAGTTAAAAAGAAATTTAAAATCTGTCTCTCCCTTCCCTAGAAGTTTTTAACTGCCAATAGCCCCTAGAGGGAGGAGGCTCTGAGCCCAGCTTCCTCCATGTTAATGCTGACCAGCTTGATCTCGTGTGGGCCTCGTGCAGACTACCACAGCTGCCGTGACTTCATGGCTGCAACCGTCCTGTCAGGTCGAGACAACACTGCTTCATTCCTATTGTCCTGATTCCATGTTCTTACAAACTTTTTGATCCTTCTCCAACAATCGTCCCTGAGCTTCGGTGGCGAGTTGAGAGATAGATGTAGATGCTCCAGTCATGGCTGAACACTGAGACACATTCTCTACACTGTGATCAGGTCTGAATTTCTGTGTTCACCATCACCCATTTGCACTAAAAACTTCTCTGATGAGGTCTGGGAGCATCACTAATCTATGGATGCAGAGATAGGAATTTAGAGGCAGTTTGCTGTGACTATGGCCATTTAGCAGAGTAATAGTAGTATATTTATTCCTGTGGCCTAGGAGTTCCCCAGTTCTGGGCTCCTGAACAGATGTTAGAATACCAGGCACAAGCTTTCTCTAGTGGACTGGACTAAAATCGAATCAGAGAGCAGTTGGCTACTCCCATAACACCCTTGCATCTATTGCATCCGTGGGCATATTTTGCTACACTGGTCATTATTGTAGTTCACAGAGTTAACAGCTGGGGAAGACTGTTGAATACGTACTTGTCATTTGTGTGTGTGCATGCCCATGTGGAAGCTACCGTTTGACATTGGGTGTCATCTTCAATTGCTCTCCTGGATTTTTTGAGACAGAACAACCCTGCATTTTATCTGCATTTTTGTCATGAACATTGAATCCTTTCCAGCATGGTCTTTCAAAGGCTAGTAAAAGAGGCAGAGTCAGTTATGTATGCTGTACAGGATTTCTGGGGGACATCTGAGTGCACCTAGCTCCTCAGCTGCCCACGCCTTTCACAGGCCAGATGAGGTGGCCCCCCTGTGTGGAGCAAGTCCGTGAGGCTGGACCGGAGCCAGGAGAGCTGTAATAAGCAGGCCAGTGCCAGCTTCTGGCTCCTGGCTCCTTGGGTGGCATTCCTTCATTCCTCCAGCTTTAACTGTTTAAAAATCAATTAGCACCAGTCATTAGAACACAAGCCACACAGAGCTCATTGTCCTAGGAGTGGCTCTGAAGGCCCTGGGGCTCCAAGGGAAGTTTGGCTTCCCTTCTGCAAATAGAGTATATCAACATCCCCATTCTGTGGTTGGAGTGATGACTTCATGCCCAGGCCCTGACTCTTAAAATGCTTGGAGACATAGACTTGTACCCCCATTTTCTAGTTTTACCTACATGCTTGTCCGAGATGCCACTGTATCTTCATGGTCTTTGACAGCACTAAAATGGAAGGTGATTGTCTGAAGCTGCTTGTGATCACTCCCTGAATGGGTCCATGCTGTCTTCTAGTCCTTGTCCCGACACCTGGTTGCCCCGCTAGCCTTCAGGTCCAGTATTGCAAACAACTTTATGTTTTTCCACTTCTTTCCTCCTGGTCCTTCTTCTGGTCTATATTCAATGGTGTCAGAGACCCCTTTGCTCTAAAACCAACAAAACGTTTATCACAATGAACACAAGTGACTCTCTTTTATTCTGTTTTGCTGCTCAAAGAAAGAATTTCTGCTTGTACTTACTGTGTCTGGGCTTCAGCATCCATCAGTACAGATTGTTATGTTTAGTTATAGAATGAATGTCTTTTTTGGCTTTGTATATTTTGAGATCCAGTCTCACCATGACGTCATGGGAGCTGGCTTCGTAGATCAAGCTGGCCTGGAACTTGAAATGGTTCCCCTGCCTCTGTGTTCTGGGATTACAGGTGTACCCCCATCACATCTGTCTTTATTCAATTCATTATTTTATGCATGTTCTCACCTCAGTTTTATCTCCTGAATCTCTTTAGTAACTTACATCGATGAAGATGAGAATGAAATACCTGAATTATCGTCAAACAAAACATTCTTCATCATGCTCAAGATTCCGGAGGAGTGTGCTAATGAAGAGGACTTGCCTCACTTGCTCACGGAAAGGGTGATTATGCCTTATGTGTTGTCTATGGAGGTCTTAACATTGCATTATGAGTTCTGTTAGAGCAGTTGGCAAAGCTCTAGAGTGAGCAGCAGAAAAAAATGCTCGCCAATGGGTCTTCTGTGTGGCAAAGCCACCAGAGGTTGATGTTAGGTCTTTTCTTTAATTGCTCTCAATATTTTTTGAGATAGAATTTCTCCCTGGGAACCAGAGAACACCCAATTTGGCTAGGGTGACTGACCAGTGTGTCCCAGGGATCCTGCTGTCCCTGCCTCCCCAGCACTATGATTACTGGTGGGTGCTACTATGCCTGATGTTTTATGTGAGTTCTGGAGATTGGACTCAGATCCTCTTGCTTAAGCAACAAATACTTTATGAATGAGTCATCTCCCCAGTTTTTCACACAGTGTTCTTCATCTACAAAGGAGGTACATCTAAACTATGAGGAGTTGGGGGTGGAAGCAGATGAAGGAGCTGATACTCAGGATAGTTATAAAATAAGGGCAAAGATGTTACAGTATATATATATATATATATATATATATATATATACACATAT